TCACCATAATCCTCACAATAGCCTTCAAGATGTTCATCAGGTCCTCCCTTTCAAAAAAGGTACAGCTCAAAAACTCTGTTCTTGAATTATTGCCTCTGCAACTTCCATTAACTCATTAGTGGAAAGGGAACTCATTTCTCATTCACCCACTGGCAGTGTTCATACACCAAGTTTAACTTGGTTGCTGAATGAACCTGCTATGTGGCTTCACACATTACATTGAACCATTCACTAAAAAGATAGGGAGATTTCACATCAATTATTTAATGCCAAGATTAGTTAACCAAAGTTAAAACTAACCATGTTGTCAAAGGCAGCTGTTAGGTTTATAACTGATTTAGCAGATTACGTAAACAGAGTCTGCAGAAAGATGGTCCTCATTCTTATTTATGAAGCACAAAGTCACAACATTTCTTAGCCCCTGGGATTCTATGGGGAGATTCCTACCTGAAACATTAGATCCTCCAGGAATTGTCTCAGGGGTGGGTTTGATCGTCTTGGAATCTAGAAACAGTAAGGATCAAGAAAGATTTATTTCTTCCTTTGAATTTCAACAATATTTCTTACAAAATCTCATAGCAAATACCAAGGTTCTTTTTGCATTTTTGCAAGATACCTTCATTCATTGGCAAAACAATTGGGATGGAAGCCCACCACCACTCCTGCACAAAACATATTAACCCCAAAGATTGACAGCAGTGAGTAAACCTAACCCCCCTCCAGCTCTTTTTCATCAAGAGAGGCTCTTTTTGCTCTTGGCACACTTCCATGCCATGGGGGCCCACCCGAAGCTGGTCACGTGATCCACTTCTGGATCAAGCTACTGCAGGTCCGGCCAGGACCAAATTTCCTCTCCTCCCTCCTCCCTTGCATTAAAGAAAACATACATTGCTGACACCTCCAGCCCTTCCATGTTTCCCTGGGAGCATTTCCTTGTTGTTGGCAAATAATTCAAGCAGTTGATCTCAAGGGATCACTTTAACATATTATCATCCAAATCTCCTTGTTTTATGCTTAACCCAGGCAATCATATGCCAGTATTTGTCTCTCTCTGCCTTTACTTGGTTGCACCCACAAAACATCTCAAAGGTCCCAAGACAGACCCTGGCCCAAGAAAGGTCACTTTCTCCTGCCCTAATTTATATGACCACCAGCCTATCTGATACCAACTACTAGGAGATCTGCCACAGTTCCAGGGCTTCCAGAAATCCAGTCTATCTCAGATGGGCCACATAAAGAAAAGGAAATATGCTACTTTCATGTCGTACCTCCCCAAGACAGCTCCAGCGGGTCACTGGGCTCTGACCAGACAAAGGGTCTGCTTTTGTGGTGGTACTGACAGGTATAACTTTGTGTCTCTTCCAACGAAGTCTGGTGGAGAAAAATATCCACTGCTTTTTCCTCTGGTTCTGCAGCCTTGTAAGCTATCTGCTCCCTTGATTTCAGAAGAGCAAAAGTCAGATCTTCTTTTGTCCCATTGCACCGTATGGAGATGTTTGCTTCTGGAGCATCTTTATCTTCATTTATAATCTGGATGGAAGGCTTGGTCAGGCTGGGATCTAGGAGGAGGAAGGAATCAGTGAAAGGTCAAAGATCCTTGTAGGCAAATATCTTCTGCCAAATTCAGCCATGAATAACATCCCTTCCTCCTCCCATTTTCAATCTTTTTGCCAGAGAAGGATCCTCTTCTCCATTCTCAGATACTCGTTTCTCAAATGCAGATGAATGGCATCTGTAAAAGCACAAAGATATCAAAATGATGGTGCAGGTGCCATGATGTCATGACATGCAAATGGAAGCATTGTGTCATGTCATGACACCTGATGGAAATATTTATTTATTTATTTATATGTGACCGTAAATATGTAAGTAATATTTGCATTTTGACATTTGGCACATGCTATCAGTTGCTCTTTTCTGTCCTCCCCCCATGAATGCCCAACAGAGATACGGATTTGGCATTTCAGGGATTGTGAAAGAAAATAATTCACACCGGGGCAAGAAAGAGATTTTAATCTAGATGGCATCACTATGGACATAGGTGGGCGGTCTCTTGCAAAATGCATGGATGCTTTAGTCAAAGTAACTTGGCTTTCTATTCATGCCTTGTAAAGCCTTATTTCCCACCTCTTCTAGAAGTGCTCTGGGTGGTGTACAGAGTGCTCCCTCCTCTTTTTTCCCCAACAACAGCCCTGTGAGGTATGTGAGCTGATAGCAATTTCCCCAAAGTTACTCATGAGATTCTCTGGCAGGGGAAGGAAATATGTGGCTAACGCCAAACTGTGGAGTTCTTTGCAGTGTCATTGGTGTGAAAAAGAAACAAGTAGTGAGCAGACCTCACCTGTTAGATTGAGATAGATTTTATTACTGAGGGGTGAGAATTGATTGCCTTCAGGCAGGTGAGATCTACAGCTGTAGATGCCTCCATTTGATGGGCTGAGATTGGTCAAGGAAAATTCAGCCTTTTTGTATTCTGCCTGCTTGACACCTGGAGTTGTCCCTCCATCAGATGAGTTTTCTTGTCTGGTGAGATAGAATTCTCCATGAAATTCATCCTCACTGCTGCAGAGGATGGTGACCTTTTCCCCCAGAGCAACCATCGCACTGGGGCTGATGGATATAAATGCCTTTGGGGGAGTTTGACCTGGACAAGAAAAAAAAAAAAACAGCAAAATAAAATGTGGGAAACGGACTATCTCTTTATCCGCCTCCTCAGAAATGGAATGACCAAAGGAAAAAGCAAGACATCTGCTGTGTTTAGAACCAGAATTTTCCTTCATGAAGAGCGGCCAATGCTTTTTGGAAGGAATGATCACCATCAGGAGCACTTAACCCCAAAATACACCCTCCAATAATATCTATTTTGTTGCCATTTATTAACATTTTTCATGCTTTCAGATTGTTGATGTTTTTGGTGATATGATACCGCAATAGTGATCCGCAAATAGGTTGATGTCTTTAAGAGCAGAATGTAGATTCGGGAAGATCCTATTAACCCTACTGGTCAAAACCGGTTAGTCATTCTTTCTCATATAAACTTTTTTTCAGCAGTGGATTCTGTTTGCACACCTGCTATTTTTTGTGATAACCCCTATATGTCCTCCTTGCTTCCATCACATCCAAACCAGCTTCCAAATGATACTGCAAATTAAAAGAGTAATTAAAAAGCAATATTATTTCTTCATGCACAGCTGAGATTACACAGAGCTATGGACAGGTTATACTGGAATTTCCCCTCAATGCTTCTCTCTAAACTAGGATCCTCTGAACACGGTTAAAGGGCGCCATAGAAGCTGAAACTCCAATTGAGCAAGGGTTCCCATTGCCTGGAGTGCAAACATACGTACAGAGATACAGACCTATCGAGGGAAGGAACTTTCTGCAAAGCACAGAAAAAGAGGATGAGATAAAATACCAACCCATTAAAAGGTAGAAGATAAGGGAAAGGAAATTGAATCAGGCTTATAGCTACATGATTCACTATACCACTGTCTCTTTTGGTTTTGCAAACCACTCTCTTTGTGTCCACTACATCCACACACAGCTTCATAATGATCTTTGTTCTTTAAACATCTCCCTTTTCACTTATTCAGGATCTAATCAACTCCATCTAATCACAGTTCCTTCCATTTCCTCCCTTCCTCTCAACACAACCTTTGCTCATCCTTCCTACGTTACTTTTGTGATTTCATCCCCCTACCTTGTCTCTTTATGATGAGGCCTCAATGTGCTTCATACGGTGTG